ATATATAGCTCAAATCCTTATTTGCTTTGCAAATGCATAAAACACATTAACTGCTAAGACACTAAACACATTTAGAGAAAATAAAACTGGGAATTTACCAGATTAGCGCACACAAATTTATCTCAACAAATTTCAATCCGAGGTGAGTCTAGTTGAAGGAGTATGGAAGGCCATAAAGACATATATTTCTTTAGACGTTACGTGTATGGCCTTCCATAAAGGAGGAGCACATAAACACATGCGTGACGTCAGACGTGATTGTACTAAAACTATTGAGTGATAAAAACAAATGAAAGCATTTGAGTGCTGTAAACTTAAAATGATATTTTTTTGTACTAATTACGCAGAAAATTAAAGGTTAATTAATAGTATTTTTGAGTAATTACAACCAAAGTCCCTTTATTATAGTTTTTGTTACAACCCATTTCCTTTATCAAAGTTATTCACTGTTTGGTCTTACAGTGTATGTGTATGTGAAACCAACATGCACACAAATGCTGATTTTCTACATGGCACATGTGGTTTAAAGTTGATTTTAAAAGATTAATTTTTTATCATAACAGACATAACTGACCCATAAATACCTTTGTGTTTGCTACTAAAATATACTAAGCTTTTCTTCAGAAGATTTTGCAGTCTGAGTTGTTTTCCCCCTTTGCATAATATTCTGCTGCTGCATTGATGTTTGGCTGGTCAAACTGTAGTCATCATCATCATCACCATCATAACAGTTCAGTCGCGCACTCGCAGGAAACCGCCTCGCCTGTCTCCTTGACACACCCTTAGCTATTGTTGGCACAGTATGCGCGCGACAACCTTGACATTCCCACACGCGCGTTCAGTTGCACGGTGAAATCTTGTTCTACGTGGATGCACAATCCTTCTCAGGAAAAAACGAAAGAAGGACAAGGGGCTAATGCGGATAAAGGAAGATGCACAAACGCCGAGAAGAGTGCAGGTAAAACACACACGCACGGCCATCGCGCATCCCCGATAGATGCCCACACTACCGCACGCGCAGACCCACTCCGCTCATCCACCTGTAATGACAGATCGCTGCTCAAAGCCGTGCATTGTCCCTGGAAACGGCGAAGAAAGTACGCTTCATGTGAGAGATGACTGAGTGAGTTGCGCGGATGTTGGAGACATGGAGAAACGGGCTCTTGTAACGGCGATCAGCTTGTCCATGAGCCTGCTCGCGCTCACGCTGCTGGCCACGGCGATCTTTACCGACCACTGGTACGAAACCGACACCAGGAGACACAAGGAGAACTGCGACCAATACGGGTCGGAGTCCAACGACCAGAAGAACAGGGAGATGCCCATCTATCACCTGCCTTTGGTGGACAGTGGGAATGCGAAGCGCAACCTGGCTCTCATGAAGCCCATCCATGTAGGGAGTCGAGAGGAGGAACTGTTGGAAAACTGGAGAGCGATTTTGGGCATGGGCATTTTGGAGACGGAGTGCGGGCGCCCGCTTTTCTCCACCTACTCTGGACTTTGGAGGAAATGCTACTTCCAGGGAATGGACAGTGATATTGACAAACTCATTTCGAAGGGTAAGAGAGTGGAAAGTTCATTTCAACGCAAAATAAATAAATAAAATAAAATAAAAAACAATGCACAGAGCACCAACGTTTGCTTAGTTCTGGCTAGGGTGAGAACCGGTTTTGTTTTTAAAGCACCAGAACCGAACGACTTTCGAGTTAATTTTAGGGTTCTCAAACGTGTATTCTTTCTACAGTAACACACAGTGTTTTCTGCACTGAATCTCCAGCGCGAACACACTCCGAAACGAATGAGTCTTATGAGTCGGTTCATTTTAGTTAACTCCATAACACAGGGCGCCAATAATGCAGTCCGATTCTCGAACGAATGATTCAGATGAGTCGGCTCTTTTCAGTGTATGGAAGATACAGCGCGACCAGAGTAACCAAATTCCCGAACAAATGATTCTTATGAGCTGGTTCTTTTCTGTGAATTAAAACATGAGGCATAAATCAATGCCGTTAGCTCGGTTGTTTGTATGATAATGCATTTAAAGATGCACATTCTGAATCTTGTTGTGATGGTATATATATCGATTTTTTTTGTAGTTTTATTTATTTTTTATTATAATAATTTCGTAATTATGCCAACTATATAAAGAGAAAAACTGAGTGAAAAGGAAAAAGTCTTGGTAAACAGACGTTTTGCAATAATTTTATCCTATTTAATTTTAAAATGTGAAATTATCTCATAATTATCAAAAAATAATGGTTAACTGAATCGTAAGGCATCGAAACGGAACCAGAATTGTTAGCCTACTATTTCCATCAGGTCTGGCTGTTTGACAGATGACGTTAAAGGGTTAGTTTACCCAAAAATGAAAATTAGGCTGTGTTTTACTCACCACCGAGGCATCCTAGGTGTATATGACTTTCTTCTTTCAGACGAATCCAGTCAGAGTTATATTAAAAATTGTCCTGGCTGTTCCAAGCTCTATCATTGCAGTCAGCGGGTGTTGCAGTGCTTCAGTCTAAAAGAAGTGAAATAAAAAGCACCCATCCATAAAAAAAAGTGTCTCACACGGCTCCGGGGGATGAACAAAGGCCTCCTGTAGCGAATCGATGCGTTTTTGTAAGAAAAATATCCATATTCAAAATGTAATAATCAACTTAATCTAGCTTGCGCCAACAGTTGTACACGGAAGCAGCTCCGGGAGGATGACGTAAGATGTCGGCGGTGCGCCGGTGAGTCTCGTGAAAACCAACGTTTGTTCACAGGAGCAAAGGAAGCAAAGTTTCCTTACTTTAGCAAAGAAAAACCAGTCTCCTCTTGGATAATATCGAAATCCTCCGACATTCTTCTTTACAAATCCTCGTTTTGTACTTCTAATCAGTGATCCACGTGCGTCACTTCTGAGCGGCGCGTGCACAAAACTGACCTCATATGTCATCCGCCCGGAACTGCTTCCGTTTACAACAGTGAGCGCAAGCTAGATTAAATTGATTATTCCGTTTTAAATATGGTTAATTTTCTTACAAAAACGCATCGATTTTCATTTAAAAAACGCATAGAGGCCTTTGTTCTCCCCCCGGAGCCGTGTGAGACACTTTTTTTTATGGATGGGCGCTTTTTATTTCACTTTTTTTGGACTGAAGCCCTGCAACACCTGCTGACTGCAATGATAGAGCTTGGAATAGCCAGGACAATTTTTTATATAACTCCGACTGGATTCGTCTGAAAGAAGAAAGTCATATACACCTAGGATGCCTCGGGGTTGAGTAAAACACAGCCTAATTTAAATTTTTGGGTGAACTAACCCTTTAAATGTGCAGGCTTTGGATTTGTTAGTGAGTGATGATGATAATGATGATGATGGTGGTGGTGGTCTGTATGGTGGGTTGCGTCAAAAACATATGAGTGAGAATGAATATTTAGCTTATGCAGACTCGTTTCCTTGAAAAAATATTGATTTAATCCTTTTTGTTCTGACACTTTTCCAAACTTAAGCTTAATGGACTTTTTGCTGACACTAGTGCCTGCCTTTCTCTCTCTCTTTCTCTCTTGACCTGTTTATTTTACTGCAAAGGCACTTTCTGCAAATCAATTTCATGCATGATAGATCTCAACAGAACAAAACTTTATTAAATTGCCAACCAAGCCAGCTGTTTTGCAAAAGTTTTCTTTGAAAGAGATGAAAGTTTCAAGGTGAAAAAAGGCACAAGAAATGAGTGATGATTCATTGTCAATACAGATTACAGAGATCTTATCATGTCAGGATTGAAAGCGGATGCCATGTACCTTGCATTTAAATCAAGACCAAAGTCACACAGATCACTTGACCTTCAGCACCCAGGCTTTGATTTGTGACATAGTCAATTACTGTGAGTCCTCGAATCAGCCCATCAAAGAAGAGTGGCACTCTAAAGAGCTTCTCATCAGATCACAATGAAATCAGCTCAGGTTGAGTGCACCATGGCAACCGGAAGATCAAAATTCCCTTTGTTTCTCTTTATCATTTTTGACTTGATTGCTATATTGTTTATATGTATCAGTAAGAGTATACTATATGATAAAATTATTTATACTCCATTTAATTACAATATTACAGATATGATTATATATACTTATGATCTTTTATCTGAACACGGATTTACACATCAACAAGTCACAATAGATGTGTATACATTTATGCAGTTTACAGAAGCTTTTATCCAAAGCAAGTTCCACTGCATTCATACATTTTACCAGTTCATTTATTCCACGAGAATTGAACCCATGACCGTGGTGTTGCTAGCACATAGCTCATGTTTAAGCTACAATTTAAGGGGGCTTGTTCATGATAAGCTAGGACAAAGAGATACAAATTTTACAGGGTTCTAGCGGTCATGGAAAACTGAAAATATCAGGGGAAAATATTGAATTATATATATATCAAAAATGTCAACAATTCTGTGTTTTTCTGTCAATATGGGGTGCTGTGTGTACATTAATGAGGAAAACTTAAATGATTTTAGCAAATGGCAGCAATATAACAAAGAGTGAAAAATGTAAGGGGGTCTGAATACTTTTCCGTACCCACTGTATATATGTGTGTGTGTGTGTGTAATTTTACATGTTTTTATGTTAAATTTAAATTACATTTAATATTCATTGTGACTGTTAACTGTAAAATAAGTTTGCGTCTCTGCGTTCTAGCACATGGTGCTATAGATAGATAATTAGATAGATAGATTTTTAAGCTAGAAAATGCTGTTTGTGAGAGCAATCATTTTTAAATATCCTTATGGAGTAATTACGATTATAAAAGTCATGGGAAATTGGTCAACAGGTTGGGAATACTACTTTTAGTATACATGGCTGCAACTTAATATCACTTTGAGAAAATCTGCAGAGTTGAATTCATTATCAGTGATTACAGATGAAGTGCACATCTAATAATTTTCGAGGTTTCTCGTTGGCTTGGCTGTGAATTGAAATGTTGTCAATTCAAGGAAGGCACATTTCAGTTTCACCCACACATTTCTAAGGAACTGATGAAATCATTTTTCAGAGTGAATGAAGTGCCATGCAGCTGACCGCATCCATTATGACTCCAGACAGTGTTTAAAAAACAAAACAAAAAAAACATAACTCTCAGGCTTGCTGCATGATCACTGCAGTTTCAACACAGCTCTCAGAATTAGCTCACAACGCCAGCCAAATCTGTGTGGTGTGGTGTGAACAGGCGGAAATAATGACAGAAGGTCACTCTGTCGGGGAGGCGGGTGTTTCAGCAATACTTGGCTCTATACTTGTTCTTGCCCAGTGCTGGAACGTCCAGGGACATATAGAGCAAACAAAACAAATAGAGTAGCAAAGATTAGTGCAAACATTATAACAGCAACAACATTGCAAGGATATTAAGTAGTTTTTATGAACAACTAAAATCACATGCCAGAAGATTTGGGAGGGATTTGATTGGTAAGGTCTTTGCAAAGCTGCATTTGAAAGGCAGAGTTTGTCCTTTGGTCAGGCATGTTAAACCAGTGTGTGATCCCTTTGCAGGTATTGCAGACCGATGCACATCTGTCAAGTACCATTTCTCCCAACCCATTAGACTCAGGAACATCCCTCTCAACCTGACAAGGACCATACAGCAGGACGAGTGGCACCTCTTACGTAAGTCACCCAAAGTTTTCTCACCACCTTCTACAGCTCTTGATATGCATTGAATATTAAGCAGTGCATGCAAGCTGGAGTTAAGTGTGCTTAGCATAGAGAAAAGCATGCAGTGCAATACCATGTAAAAATGACTGCCATGTTAATATTTGTTTTGACAATAATTTGGTTGTGGTTATGATACTAAAATCAGTTCAATTTATTTGTATATCGCTTACACATTGTATATGTATATTGTAAAAAAATATGAAGCAACTGTAGCTGGAAGAATAGTACTGAGGATCTGGATTTTACTAAGTATACTGTAGATTAAAAAGTTTATTTTGGGTATTAAATGAACATGCTATTTGGTATTATTATAGCAAATATAGTGGATTATTAAGCATGTAATTCAAGTTTAATTGTTAGAACAGGTGTTTTTACATTATTCTCAAGTTCCAAGAGTTTTTTGGTTTTTAGTTTAAGTATGTTAGTGTTGAAGACATTATGGGCCCTCAAATATAATATTTCCCTTGGCACGGGAGCGCTAAATATAAAGACAGATACACTTTTTCATGTATAAAAACTCATCTACATAAATATAAAATGAAAAATAAAAATATTCTAAATAATATTACCTGGAAAATATGTACTGAAAAGCTGAACAATGAAAGAAATTGGTGTAAAATAGTTTTCTCTCAGAAATTGCTAGTAAATTTCATAAATAATTACACAAGTAACACTTTAAATTAAACATGACATTTTGAAGTAGAAAATGTAAAATGTATTCCAATAATCTTAAATATATATATTTTTTAGTGGATTAAGTTTTCCTTTTTAACCGTTATGAAAGTACTGTAGCTATAAAAAACTGAAGAGAAACGTAAAGCAAAGGCATTCTTTATGTAAAAGTGTTTCTCTTCTGGAAAAACTTGTCTAAAAATATCAGCGACTCAACCAGTCAAATGCTGTCTACAATGTCATCAACTAGCAATAGCACTGAGTAAAAATCAGGTTTCACAACTGTGACATTACTAAAGGCTACTGTCTATTGTAAAAAAGAGTTGAGCACTTTAAAATGTTAAGATAGACAGTCATTGGGTTCTATTGTCCATTATATAAATAAGAATACAGCTCATGCTATTTGCAGTTATTGTATGTCTTGTCATGAATATGTAATCATAACCTTTTATTGCATCTCCATGAAATTATTATGTGCCCCACGGTACTGTTTTGTGTAAACAAACTCAAATGTAATTTTCTGTTGGAAGGAACGTTATTAGCTCCTGTGATGTTATAACTTAGCAAGTCTTAAGGGAGCCTGCAAGACTTAATTACAGCCCTCGTTAAAATGCTTCCTAATTAAGCTTTGCTTCCTCCATGCATGTGTCCCAGTCAGATTCTATAATGTGATATTACCTTTAAATTAAACCTACTGAATCAATATCTGCGATAAGCAACTCCAAAACTTTGCATGGAGACATATGCGATTATTGAGCTCAGTGAAAGTTCCTAAAGATAAGGTGTTACCCATAGCTGTATCTATAGTGTTGCTGGCTAAGTGGGTGGTAGTCATGGAAACAGTGTGTTTTTCTACGGTGTTCAGATCTGAGGCGCATTACAGCGGGGTTCTTGGGCATGGCTGCTGCCGTGATGCTGTGTGGAAGCATTGTGGCCGCTGTGGGATTTTTCTGGGAGGAGAGCCTCACCCAGCATGTGTCTGGACTCCTGTTCCTTATGGCAGGTACATTCTGCTTATTCGCTTCTATTATCTAACTTTCTCCTCATTTTTGCTCAGCTACTTGTTACTCATTTCGCCCAGTAGCACACTTTCTCGTAGGTGGTTTCCTTTCCTTTCCAAGCTGTTGTCTACCTTGTACATTCTCCCACGTCTTGTCTATTTTTCTGCTTATCTACTTCTGTCTTATTTTCCTTGTCTGGCTTGAATATATATATGAGAACCGGTATACCGGTGAGAAAACATTACAGTACAAAGCGCATAATATTACATTAATAACGCCTTCCATTCTCGCTCGATCTGGAATAGTGTAATGGAAGGCACTGATGACGTATCATGTCTGCACGAACGGGGTGCACAGAGGTATGCAAATACACTTGTTGACCGGTAGGTAGGACAGCCTATCATAGTCCTCGGAACGAGGGATATGATTGGAAGAACATTTCATGGTCCTACGCCTTCCACAGACGATATAAATACATATAATACACTATGTACTCAACTGTCTAGTACAGGGGTAGCGAACTCCGGTCCTGGAGAGCCGCAGCCCTTCAGAGTTCAGCTCCAACCTTAAATAAAACTCACCTGCCTGTAGCTTCCTAGTAACCGTTCAGACCTTGATTAGCTTGTTCAGGTGTGTTTGATTAGGGTTGAAGCGAAACTCCGCAGGGCTGCGGCTCTCCAGGACCGACGTTCGCCACCCCTGGTCTAGTATATGAATTATATAAAGTTTTTTTCATTCAGCATTGGAGTCTGTTAGCTTCTGTCCCTTCAGTTTGTAATTAAAGCTGCGGCAGTTGAGTGCATGAAGTGCCCGACTTTTATCTTTTTTCCGGTAAACTCATCATCCAGGTATTTGAAGTGCACTTTTTCGTTTTATAATTTTCAGTGTGACTATCTATACTAAAAACTGGCATAGAATAGTGAATAAGTATGCAAATTGGGACACCCCTGAAATAAGTCTTAATGAATGAGTCATTGAATCAAATTTGTTCACAAACATTGAATGATTCAGGGGGAAAAAACAGCTACTTTGTGTTGCAACTGTAATGCTGTGTCTTTGATTAGAACTATTTTGTTTTGTACACCATCACGGCCATGTCATGTGTTCATTTTATAAGTCCTTCCTCTCAATCTTTTTACATAATATGAGGTACATACCAAGAGTTCAGATGGTTTTTGTGGATTCTCGTGTGTTCATTAGATCATTAACCTCAAATGTGTCTGTCCTACAGGAATCTTTTGCACAATCTCACTGTGCACCTACGCAGCCAGTGTCTCATATGACCTATCCAGGAACCCTCCCTTCATCTACGGTCTGCCCGGTGACGTAGACCATGGGTACGGGTGGTCCATCTTCTGTGCATGGGTCAGCCTGGGCCTAACAGTGGCGTCAGGTTGCATCTGCACAACTTATCCCTTCCTGAGCCGCTCAAAGGCTCTTCGCTCCAAAACGGCAAGGGAGTCGTCTGTATGAGCGCGGCCTGGAGGACTCAGCAAAACATTAATCAGCACTTGGCGCTTTAGTAAAACGGATTCAAGTGGGACTTCATGCTGTACGGAGCCGTTTTGAATGTCTTGTAGATTTCTGATACCTTTGTTGGGCTCATGAGATGTATTGGTGTTATACAGAACGAAGGACAAGACTGTTGCAGTTTCTGTGTGTCTTCTACACACATTTGCTTACAAATCACACACACACATAAAAAAAGAAAAGAAAATACACACAAATATACAGTATGTGTGAATATAATTAACAAAACCTTTGATTTGAAATGGGTATGTGTGTGTTTGTGGGTCGTTGTGACGCAATCATTCTCTGGATCAGGTGAATATTCTACACACTAAGGATCTGAGCCACAATTTTTTATGCAAACCATCTGAAATTCAAATTATTGCTCTGATCACAGTCAGTGTTATTTTTTTATTATGTGATTAAAGCATACTGGTTTCCCTACCACTTGCAAATGGATACAAGTCGACTAACCATTGGCTCATTTCAAATGAAAATATCACAGCTAAAGAATTCAATCAGGGATGAACAGGACACTTCATGCCACCGAAGTCACCACATCAGACTAATGTATAAAGGCATGATTGCATATATATCACCTTTGGGTAACAGCTGGTGGCTGATAGTCAAAAAGATTGAAAAATCAAAGAGACACGAGAAGTTACGAGATCTAAGACGTGGATATGCAAATTTGTGATTGGATGAAATGTCTCTGAAGATCCAGGACTTGAATGTAGCTGTCACTAGCAGTGCAGTCGTAATATGGCAGCATGTTTAAAGTGGATGCTCTCGAATCTACCAGCCTCTCTCATGAAAGGCTTCTCATGATGTCACGTCATTGTTGAAAATACAAGTCCTTCCGTTCCACATGAAGTGGCACTAATATAAAGCCACCAGGATTATATTAACTGCTGGATATTGTTTTCCAAACTGAGCCAAAACTGTAACATTTCCCTGAAACTGTACTGTTTGCCTCAAAACTTCCATTGTGTTCCTGAAAGTGTATCGTAAATAAAATATTACCATGATAAAATAAAGGTCTATTAAGAAACCAAACTGTTTCGTGTGAACTTGGGCAGAATTGGGGCTTGTTTTATTGTTGGCAGACATAGGGTGACTCATTTTAAACAATGCTAGCATGTTTTATGCTTTCTCTTATCCAAAAAGAATACTACCTGTGCAGATAAAGGAAACAACGCTGTTGAGTTCACCTCACACAGCTATTTGGCCATTATGTAACCTATGGTTCAAGAAATGCAGTTTTGAATAATTGTTTAAGGTAGCTGATTTGTTGATGCTATCAGCTTTTATATTGAGAGACATGGTCCTGGAAAACTAGAAACAGTGATATTTTAGTAATACGTGTGCTTTTTTTAGAATAATTTTTTATAATGTAAAAATGTTTTTATTTTAATATTTTCAGTTTTTTTAATTTTAGTTTTAGTAACTGTATGTGCTTTTGTATTTTTAATTAGTTTTGGATATTTCTAATTAGATACATTTTTATTTCAGCTTTAGTTTTAGTAATATTACAATTACATGTGTCATATACATTTTTAATTGCCAAGGCAAAATCTCAAATTTTCATTTGTAAGTAAGTATCTTATTTTTTACTGTATATTTATATTTGATTTTATTTCAAGAAAACGATTTTTAGCTGTTTTTATTTTAGTAAACAATAACAACACATCTGGAAATATAAGGGAATTTTAAAATTGTAATTTTTAGGACTATAAAAGCCTTGCACTTTGAAAAGAATGACAAAAAATATTTATAACGATGGCACTATAGTGTATATAAATTGTTCTTGTTATGCTCAGTTGTGCTAAATGTCTTAAAAGTTGCTTTTTGGGTGTGAAATTTCTATTTTTATTTATTTACAATCTTATTCCAGTATTCACAAGTGGCAGGGAAAGTCGTGGAAATTTAAAGGTCAAAAGGTGTGGCAACCCTGTTGATGAATAGACTTGGATTTGTTTACATAGTAGTTAAAAAAAAAGGACTTACCATTACTCTGACACAAGAGGGCGCCACATTATCATCAATAAACACACAAACCCTTGCCTAAACTCTGAAAATGTGCAATTTCTTTAAAACGAGGTGCTGAACTTTTTTGCTTGTGGTGTGGAAGAGGAGGCCCCACGGCAATAATATATTTCGCATTACCCTTCTGTGGAGTGTGCCACACAAAACAAAAATGAAAAAAGACAAAACTCAATGGCTGAAACGACAAACATTGTTCTAAATAAAAAGATTGTATTATCATAAAGATAACATTAATCAAAATGAAACTTACGGGTACTGAGCACTCGCACAAGCGAGGGAAAACTACTTAAATGTATCTGTAAAATGTACTGTAAATGAGGCTGGGGCCGAGTGACTCGTGCTGGAGTAGATAAACAGTGCCATCACCCGTGTGTGCACAATGATACAGTATGTCCTGATCAAAAATGAGTGAAAATAAAGGAAAAAAGCTTTTACCAGTGTGCCCGTGTCCACAAATGAGTAAAAATAGTGAAATATCCTGGATTTTCTATTCAGGAAGACTGAACATACAATAAGATCAGTTTCCCAGTGTCACAGTTGACTTTCTATCTTTGTGTAATGTTCAAAAATAGACTTTTCTTCCTAAAGGGAAGTCGTCGCAAAAACACAGGAGAGAGATAACATGCATTCTGCATAAAGCAGTATTAAAAAGAATAAAAACAATGGATTCTGAACTTGCGTTTGTACAATGTCAAAACATTTTCTTATACATCTTTTGTCTAAATGCTGAGACAGACATAGGATTTGATCATATGTCCTAAAACTACTGGTACCTGCACTAGAAATGTATGGAAAGGTCAGAGTCCATGATGAACACTTAACGTACAAGTTCGGACAAGCACACAAAACACATAGCAATACATTTAATAATACTTCTGACTGTCCTCAGTGAGTGGCTCCTATAGGACGTCTGTGGAGTTAAGCGTGTAACCGAGCTGGAAGGTGGCACAGCGTTTTCCCCTCAAGTTTAGGATTGTTTTTAGGTTACTCGAAAACACCGAACTGTGTAAATCCCAAATAAAAGCTTAAAATGCTCACAAAACCACACTTTTATGGTCTAAAATCAGAAGGAGAAAAAAGTCTTGCGACACTGCTCGTTGTTCAAAACACCCGCTTGTAGGTTCAAAAAGTGAAATGCAATACTTTCATCTTTAACCACAGATTTTGAGTTCATTTTTGCAACGATTTCTGCATGTTGAACAGTCTTCTCCTGCTAAATGTTTCCAAGTAAATGAATGAGATTTAAAATGACAGCGATTTTTAAAGTATTCTGTGACCAGAGGAACAAAATGTTACTCAAAGGTCATTAGTTTTTGTATCATTTAGCCAAAAAATGACATTTGAATGTTGTACATCTTTTGAATCGAATTTAATCTGCTGTTTTGTCATATTACAGATTTCAGGATTCAGTCAACCAAATCAGTAACCTTTCCAAATGATCATTTTCCTGAAATCTTTACAGCTTTACTAAAAAAAAAATTAAAAAAAAAGTATAAAGTTTTACCTCAACAGCAGAAAAATGTGTATTCACACACATAAAATAGTGGGCAACACAAAAACACAATAAAACACCTGCTATCATCTATGGCTGCTTTTGAACCCTTTCCTCCAGTCAGTCCTACATATACGAGGATTTTAACGACAGCATCCTGTCTGCGGCATCATCTCGTGCCTGATTTAGAAACCCTTGATGATACAATAGGTCTCCATGGAGGATAAGATGATGTACATCAGCCAGAGACTGAAAAACAATGTTGTGGTTAGGATTTTGGGAGTCTGCGGGCCACCCAGTTCCCCTCCGATCTCGGGCCGGCGGCGGTACATGAGGACGGCAATACAGATGAAGGCAAAGATGGTGAAAAGGGTGACGGAGAATGCCAGCGTGCCGGGGTCCACTCTGAAATACTGGCCATGTGCCTGGTGAAATATGGCAGCGATGGACCAGGCCAATCCAATGCCCAGAAAGACGTTCACAGCGTTGCTGCCAGTCACATTGCCGATGGAGGCGTCAGCGTACTGATCCTGGATGGCTGCCACCTTACTAGCGAATGTGTCTGATTTTGAAGGGGTCGGGAGAGAAAGACAGAAAGAACGAAATATTGTCAGGCTGCAAAAAATAGGCATCAATATGTGGATGATTGTTGTATGAATCGTTGTGTGAAACCTGTAAAAAAAACATGTCCAGCTTGTATTTTGCCCAAAATTCCAAATAAAGAAATAAGTTTGCATTAAGAAAAATAAGCATTTCAAGGGCCATTAAGAATGTCGAGCATTTGCTTTTTCAAGACCGTTAAACACATTTTCTCTTTTAATTTCCAGTATTGTAAAAAAAAAAGTTTCAATGAAATTAATAAAAAAAAATATATATTTTTTCATTATTATATATTTTAATACGATTAATTGATTTAATTGGGTGCATTTATTTAATTAACAGAAAGAACGAAATATTGTCAGGCTGCAAAAAATAGGCATCAATATGTGGATGATTGTTGTATGAATCGTTGTGTGAAACCTGTAAAAAAAACATGTCCAGCTTGTATTTTGCCCAAAATTCCAAATAAAGAAATAAGTTTGCATTAAGAAAAATAAGCATTTCAAGGGCCATTAAGAATGTCGAGCATTTGCTTTTTCAAGACCGTTAAACACATTTTCTCTTTTAATTTCCAGTATTGTAAAAAAAAAAGTTTCAATGAAATTAATAAAAAAATATATATATTTTTTCATTATTATATATTATATATTTTAATAAGATTAATTGATTTAATTGGGTGCATTTATTTAATAAAAAAAAGTGCAGTAAAAAGAGTAATGTTGTAAGAAAGTATTACAATAAAAAAAGTTACTATTTGAATATAATATAAAATATAATTTATTTCTATAATAGCAAAGCTGAATTTTCAGCCACCATTACTCGTCTTCAATATCACATGATCCTTCAGAAATAATTCTAATATGCAGATTTGCTGCTCAAGAAACATTTCTTATTATCAATCAATAAGGATTTTTGATGAACAGAAAGTTTAAAAGAACAGCATTTATTTGAAATACATTTTTGTAATATTATAAATGTCTTTACAGTCAATTGCATCCTTTTAATGCATCCTTGCTGAATAAAAATATTAATTTCTTTTTTTAACCAACTTACTGACCTCAAACTTTTAAATAGTATTGTGTGTGTGTATATACACACAGTATATATATATATATATATATATATATATATATACTGTAAACATTACTAAAAAAATTATAGAAAAGAATGGGAAAACTTGCATTGGTATAAACCATTAAAGTAAAGAGAATTTGGGGAGAAAATGTGCTTAATTGTCATAATTCACAAAATCTTAATGGTCCAAAAAACAGGTTTTGATATATATCACTTTTATTTGATTTGGGGATGAAATGTGACTTAAACATATCTAGTACCTGGCACAGAGGTTCCCAGCGCCACAAACACAACTGCAGTTACAGAGTCTTTCAGGCCAATAGTGCATCCAAAATGGGATGCCAGGTCTCCAATGAATGCAGTGAGGACGCCAATCATGATGATGGACACGATGAAACACGCCCAGCCATTCCAGTAATCAGTGGGTGGCACAAACGCAAACAGAACCTTCCAGAACACAGTCAGGAAGTGCATGACGTAGTCAAAGCAAGATGGCATTTTTTCTTCCCCACACTCATCATCATCATCTTCCCCTTAAGAGGAGGGAAAAAAAGGAGAGGCGATTTGAATTATGGATTGGTTTGTTTGTTTTCTGTGAAGTGACAGACTGTCCTCTTACTCCAGGGAACATCAGTGTGCATATCACTGTTACACAGAATGGCTGACACCAAATCTTATAAATCAGAGGAGGCAGAACCAGCATAACATGAAGCTCAGAGGACTGGAAGTCCAGTACCATTTGTGTTTCACCAAATATCACACTACTTAAAACATATCAAAACAGTCATAAATGAAAAGATTTATTTAAAGCATGAAAAAAC